TTAGAGTAGTGATTCTACGTGGGGGATAGCTGGTGGGACAGAAAATGCTGTCTATATTGTCCCGGCGCTGGTACCGGTATTCTCTTCATTCATGGGCGAGCACGATAGCACTCCGGGTGCGATTTAACGGTGACGCTAACTTTGAACCTCTTGGGTGCACCGTTCTCTCTCTTCGCTCGGTCTATTATAGTGGGGCGGCTTCGGTCAAACGCTATCACAGCTCGTAACTAGCTTGGGCGATTGGAAAATATGGGGGGGGAAATGGAAGCCTATCATAATATGAATGAAAATCCCCCGCTCCTAGCTCTGCGATCCGTTGCCCATCCCGACCAAACATCGGCCATTGCTCTGTCTTCTCTGCCTTTATCTGCCTTGTCTGTTCTCTCCGATCGACCAAGAGGGAGAAAACTTCCACCCTTTGTACCTCCGGGATCGTAAGGATCCATGACAGTTTTCCCGGCATCGCAATCACCCACGAAATAGTTTGCAATTACCCCCCCAGCGACCGGAAAGACGATTGCGTCCCCAACAGCACAGTGCTTTCTCCTCCGTCGATTTTCCGGTCATCGGCTCGTACGAGCGCGCAGTGGTTATCCCCAACTATATTACCTTCCACGGTTCATGGGGGTGAACCTCAAGGATTCCCGGGGCCAAAAGGTAGCAGATCTTAACACTAGCGAATGGCAGGGACTAATGGCTGACTACAGATAACTGCCGATGATACAGTATGATACTAAGCTCGCTTAGCAAGCCACAATTTGTTTGACCGCCCCAGGTCAGGCCAATTTCGAGTTTACTCAAATTCCGGGTACCCGCATTTGCTATGGTACCAGCGCTCGATCAGACTGTTTAAACTAGGCTACCCCGGAAGGACGATGCAAAACACTCTGCCGGCGAGATTGGGGACTATACTACCGGTATCCCCTCGGATGGACTTATAGCTGAAGATCTCGAGGTGAGCTCACTTTTTCCCTTTTTGCAGTAGAATAGACGGGAGCGCAAACTCCAAGTGTCAGAACGAGATCCATGTCGGCAGCTTGCTGGTTCGGGATGGAAAGTAATAATGATAAATGAAAGAATGAAGTCGCGTGCAATACTCAGACTTGGGGAGGGGATTTAGGTCCGTATATTATTGAGCTTTTGGGAGATGAACAACGACTGGACTGGCTCAGCGAGACTGCTAATTATAAGCTTGGAGAATTAAGTATAGTGTCACATAAATCGTCGGGATTGACCTCTCCCCCGCTTACCATCCTCCTCCTGATAAACCAGGCTTTCCAATGCGTCCCACTGGGTTGGCGGACTCGAGACGAATGATGGCAATTATTCCTAAGGGAACACCTTTGGGCATGAAGGGTTTGCCGGCTCCGCCGGGCATCCCAGGCCGAACGGCCAGGAAAGGCGCCCCGCTTAAAAGCCCTTAGAACAGGAAAAAGTCCTGCCCTGTCTCTTGCAGTGCTACCGTGGGTTCACCACTATTGGGAGAAGATGGCGATGGCTCAATTGACTAAGGGCTTGGCTTTACCGTTAGGCTAGCGAGATATACTCGTACGCCCGTCGATAGATTTATTCCATCGCCCCGATGCCAACAAATAGCCGAATCTGGGAGATCAATTGAGAGGGGTAAATAGTGAATCCGGTCGGATGGCGAGCGGGCCAGCACTATGAGAGCTTGGAAGCGAAATACGTGGACGAGCGTGTGCAGTCTTCGACAGGATATCACGAGAACGGGTGGGTGGTGAACGGGGGGTGTCGGAGACTTGCCGGGGGAGAATTGAATTCGTCAAAGTAGGGTAACAAAAAAAATACCTGATTTTTCCGGCCGCCCCCCCACTACCACCGCCACCTTACCGCTCGGCTCTCCCCTTTGGCTCTCGGGGATGCAGAATGACATATAACAGACCGCCAATGTCGCATCACCAAATGCTTCGCCACCCGGGGTCCTCTAAAAAGCGCGCGACGAGTTCTTATAGCGCAATCTCCCAATTCTGCCAGAAAGTCCCTGTACTCCTCCGCATTTTCAGGACCTTCCATGCCCGTTGTTGTCCAGGGCGCGCGATTGAGCATCTCCTTTATACCACCGGTCCACTCATTGGACTTATCCCCCGCCTGCAACTTCACCAAATTCCTAATAACACTTTTCGGTCAGTATCTTCCTGTTCCATACGACAAACGGCAAGCAAATGAATTATACAGAGGGAAGGAACGAGCAACATGGGAGAACCAACCAACTCGTAATTGCACCTTGGAATGAGAGTAGGGAAGGAGTACTGTAGGCGCAAACTCCGTTGTCTTGCTCCCCATTCTGAACCAGCCATGGTAAAGACAGCGTATCTTTAATTTATTCCTCAAGGCCGGTCCCATTTCCCCTACACGCTCCCTAGGTACATTGCCGTATAACTCTGAAGACCTCTGCTATAAACACCAACCAGAAGACTAAAGAGAAAATTGCTCTCTAAATCCGTTATAATAGCCAATTGGGAAAACTCTACGGGAGGGACCCCAACAACACCATTTGTAGGTAGGGTTGTCGAAGAGATTGAAATACTCGTCAATCTTGAGCGTCCGGATGATGAGCTCTAAGCTAAGGTGCCGGGCACCATCGTTATCCACCAGAATTACCTTATTTGTACAGTACTAATAATAAATCTTTGCCAATACTTCTGTGAGCCAAACTCATGGAAGGTAATGATCTAGCGGCGGGACATGTAAAACCCGAGCTAATAGAAACCAGATATTATTGTACGATACGAGTGCTCGTACTCGAGTACCTATCATAGTCTAACACACCGGCTTTCAACCACAGGGTGGACTCTCAGTTCTCACAGCTAAGGGAACTGCTAAAATTATTTTTTCGTGGCTAGAGTTGCTTGTATGGGTTCGCTAATCGTAACACCGCCAAGAGTCTGTCACGGAGGTGTTCTTGGCAAGGATGTGAACTACTCGAGTATTGGAGTCAAAAAGTATGCGGACAGCTTGGCACTCTTGCCGCCTGTTTGGTGCATAGGTGTCCTCATAAATTTACTTTGTCAATAGGCGAATGCAACACACCACCGCTATGGACAGGCAGGGTAACTCCGTACTCGTAGGGTCCCACTGCGGCACTTGGAGGCTCCCGGTCTAGGACAAAGAAGACAGGGTAAGGCCGGTTCCCTTTCAGGACTGTTTCTCTCAAAGGTCGCAAGGGTTCCCCTCTCCTTGCCCCGCTTTATTAGCCTTGCTCCATTTCCACACGCCACCAGCCATCCATCCACCCTTCTTCCATCTTGACACCCCAACCTTTCCTTCTCCCTCTCTTCCCTCCCTTCTTCCCCTCTCCTTCCTTTCTTTACTCGCACTCCCATCCTCCTCTTCAGAACGCTCCGTGAAGTTTTCTTCGCAGAGTACCCTCCCACAACAAACAAAACACAAGACCGGTATTTAGAAATATTCCTTTCCTCCCTCCTTGCTCTATCTTTGCGTGCGTTTTTTAGAAATGGATTTTTCCCCATCTCCTGTCCGGGGTAGCGCCCAAATTTTTAAGCCTCCCCTCCGTATTAAATCCTGCGTCCAGTGCTCCATTTCTACTTTCCGCAAATAACAGTCAACACAATGGCCACCAAACTTTTTATCAGGTTAGCTCTCACTTTTTTCCCCATATGTTGTCTTCTCCCTTTTTATCTCCTGCTCGCTTCTCCAACATCCTGGTCTGCGGCGGGGTAATTGTTCGGCTAACGATTGGTTCCTCTCTTCGCCGTGCTACCACAGATCCCTCAGTTGGAACACTGACGATGTGAGCCTCAGAAGAGGGTTCGAACAATTTGGAAACGTTACGGATGCCGTATGTCTTTTCCTTCCCTCTCTCGCCATCTCCTCCTCCTTTAGCTGACGTTTCTTAGGTCGTCGTCAAGGATCGCGAAACCGGTAGAAGCCGTGGATTCGGTTTCGTTACTTTTGATGACGAAACCTCCGCCAATGCTGCTATCGACGCAATGAACGATAACGAGTTTGTTCCCTATTCAGTTCCCTCACAGCATCTTTTAGTTCCGATGCTAACCCACAATGCCATTGTTATAGGTTCGAGGGCCGTCGCATCGTTGTTGTCGTTGCCGAAGACCGTCGTGGTGGTGGTGGTGGTGGCGGTGGATATCGCAATGACAGTGGCGGTGGATATCGCAACAATGGTGGCGGCGGAGGAGGCAAGTGATTTGATTTCTTAGTTGATCCCTACTCCTGAATGCTAACGTGAAATCAGGTGCTTGGAGATAGGTTGAGGGCTGCTTGAGCGTTGATCATGGGACTTGTTTCTTTTTCTCGAACCCGTTGCGCTCCGACATCCCCCACTCCTCTGCAACGAACGGATGACTTGTCTACTTAATGTTTCCATGTCTCCATGTTCTCGTTTTCTAGTTTCTAAATAAATGTTCTCGTTTCGGGAATCCTATTTGACCTTCAGTGACTACTGTGTGTCCTATGGACGATGTGCTTGCGATTAAAGAACTATCAATCTTGCCAACGATATTTCCCTATATACTCTCTCTCGTAAACCAAATAACCAGGGCTCCAGTAGAGAGGATATCTCAACATCCCAACGGTTCCTTTTGGTATTTTCTTGTTGAATAACAATCCACCATGCTCTCTAGTCCATCGATTCTGCTCTTTCCATGCACCCCCGAAAGCGCGCAAAGTCATAAAAAATCCCAATAGGTCTTTTTCTGCTGGCTATATCTACACCGGAAACACTTGATCTGAGCATCTAGTTGTTTGGGTAAATCGAACTGATCGCAGTACCAGCCAGTATTATAGCAGTCTCCATGCCCGAGTTAACAAACTGCTCCCTACTCCTAATGGCGCGTACCAGTGCCGCTATTGAGACCCCACGGGTATCGGTCGCTCCATCCCGCTGGTTGGAGTTACAGTAGTTTCCCACTGTCACCCCAACTTCTCCCCGCCTTTGCACTGCCCGGGTTCGATAAGTGTGATCACAAACCTCTCCGTTTTGCGAAGTAATTCTCCGCTTAGTGTGGTCAAAACTATTCCCCTTGGGACTCTATATTTTCCCCCGTACTGGTGATCCACGGACCTCCGCGCACTCCTATGTTTTTATTTTGGATCGTCTCCAATTACTCTTCAAACCCGCAAGACTCAATAAGATACCTCGGACGATGTTACTCCCCTTGCGCAGAGAACATTCCCGGTTCTCGTCATTGTCTCTTAGAAAAAAAACCTACCGCAGATTTAGTCTTATCGGATCTGACTCCCTGCGAGCGCTTGCAGGGTACTGTACTTCTACCAGACTGTGGAGGTCCTCCCTACGTTAATTTTTCAGCGGAATCGAACCCCGCCCTGAACCGTTGGATATTTCATATTCTTCTTCTTGGCTGCCTATGCCCCCACTGCTATCACGCCCACTTGTCACCCCGAGGAATGCTCTGTCTGGAGCCAACTACTGGGATATTTTTCAAGGCTTCCGGGGAGGCTGAGTTACTCTTCGGCGCGGCGATCTACAAAATTTTGTACGGAGTGCCGGATTTCGTTCCGGGCAGCCCCGGTGGGAGACTTAGACCACGGGCAACCGATTCAGCCGACGGGGAGATGAAACCGTTCACCACCTCAAAACGTTTCTATTGAGACCAAAACCCGCAGTCCCAAGATAACCGCCCGAACGTTTTCCCTACACCGAACGCTTGCGTGTGAGCAAGCGGGTTCCCCATACTTCCAATAAGGCCGTGCGCAAAGCTTCCAACTACTAACCGTGCCAAGGTTCCCACCACTTCGAATGACGCTAAGCGACCTTCGAAGTAGGTGGCACTCCCCTGGAGTGCCGCACAGTTCAACAATAGGAACAGTTCAACGATAGATTTAATCAATACAAGTGGAAAGGTTTCCAACAAAACGCCGGATTTCACGACCAAAAACCACACGAGACTTGAGCCTCTTCCTTCTCTCCTTGTCAACCTTTCGCAACTCCTTACAAATATCCTTCCACTGTTTTTTGACCTTTTTGACCACTGAATTTCTGGACATTGTCCAAAAGCCGTTGAGCTTTTTGAAGCTCTTTCTCGACGCTTTCCTGCTCTTTTTGGGCAATCATTGCCCACGCCGCGTGGGCGTAAAGGCCCCCCCCCCTTTTGGATTGATCTTCGAGACCGGTTTTGTCGTGCAGCTCGCGCGAGTTCTGCCGCTTTTGTGTTTTGAAGGTCCTCAATAGCAAGTGACCCGGTTTGTGCCTGTACCAAGCTACCCTTTACATATTTCTGAACTCGAATTGCTGATGTGGGTGAAAGACCCCGAATGTCAGCTTGAAGTGACTCCACATATTGCTTGAGCGATCTCATAGTTTTGGGTGTCGATTGGAAATCGACTGGGTGTGGAGAGGGAGTTCGGGCAGGTTGTTCGGTCGGACTCGGTGCTGGAATCGCTGGTAGCTTGTCAAGAACAACCTTTGGATTAAAAGGAATCAGGTCAGTTTTCTTAAAGGCAGAGAGGATCGTTGTAGTCTTAAAAGTTTGGGTACGAATGGACTCAATTGCAGTGAAGAATTCAATTTTATTGAACTCCGAACATCCTGTTCGTGTTGCTGCATCCAAAGCTTCTGTATGATAGTGTTTATATGGTTGGAAAACAACCACATCGAGCGGTTGTAGAAGATGTGTGCAATGGGGAGGAAGGCAAAATAGCAGAATCTTTTTCTCATCACAAAAAGTAATGAATTCTTTGGTACAATGGGAATTATGCCCATCAAGAAGAAGGAATCTCCAAGCACCAACTTGACGCAAAGCTGAGTATCGCTCAAAGTAGTGTATCCAGTCCAATGCTAAGTTAACTTATCATTAGAGTATCCGGTATCAGAAACTCCAACGAAGTAGGCATCTGGGATGTCTGTCTTGTACCAATCCTCCATATGCAGTGCTCCAGGAGCAATAAGCATAGGTGGTAGGACCACCCCATCACCACTAACAGTCTCGATCAATGTCACTAACTCTCTATTACTGGAACTTGCTAGCCTGAGGGAGAAGGGGCGGTCGGGCTCGCGGGTCACAACCCATCGGTCTTTGCCGATTCCAATTCAAAATCACTTTTCGTCAAAGTTGTAGGTATCGGTATCCAGAATCCCCTTTTCCTCCTTCGTTTTCTGATATCTCTCAAACCACTCTTTTAGACTTTCACGGTTGTGAGAAAGCTTTCTATCTACATCCAAAGTCTTTTGTTTCCTTACAAGGAATTCTGGGTGTCGGTGCATGAAGCGTCACATCCACATACTGCTAACAGTGGGCGGTGGCAAAGATGGATCACGATGGGTGGAGGTGAGGATTGAGTTCGCGTAGGAGCTGATATGTCTATACCGCGATGGAATACCGATATTATCTAGTTGACTAAGATATTGACAGAGTGCTTCTTCCTGATCAGCTGTGATCTTCCGGTTCGGCAACTCATGCAGCTGGCGAGATTGACGTCCTTTCCAACGCTCGCGTAACCGCTGTTCAGGTACTTGGAATTCACGGGATAGGGCGGCAATGTTGGGCTTTTTCTCGTTACTGATTTCGCTAATCGCTTGCTGGATTCGGGATTCTTCATTGATATATTTTTGGGATGACATGATATTGTAGGGATTGAATTTGATCAGATCTGAGGTGGTTGATGGCAGTTTACAAATAGTTCTATCATTGAACTGTTCCTATCGTTGAACTGTGCGGCACTAGCGTCATTCGAAGTGGTGGGAACCTTGGCACGGTTATACATATCATACCGACAGATTTGCCTTCTCCCCGCAGCCCCCCACTTCCGGTCCCGGATGGCCCTGATCCCCTCATCGACCCGATAGGTTGCCAATCAAGCACACCTAAATCAACCGAATGGTCGACATGCCCCCCAAGGAGTAGTCTTATTATAATACCAGCGACATTGAGGACACTCCCAATTTGTCGAGGTGCTTTGTTAATCTTTACGTGAAACAGGGGAGAATTCAGGCCTGCCACATTCCGGATTGTACAAACAGCTTGTGAAAAAACAACCCTCCCCCCCATAATAGTGGAGGCTACAACTATGAATCAACAGTCATACCTGTATAATAGCACTCTGGCCTCCTTCTAAGACCCTTGCTAGAGCTGCACTGCACTTGTACTGTTCTGTACGAGTATCACAGTTACCTCCTTCCTAAATCTACAGCACTCGACTACGGTACTCGAGTAGATTTCTGATATCCAACCGTACCGCCCCCGCGCAGAATCGTATTCAACAAAGTAATATAATATTATATTATGTACAATAAAAGTCATTCGTACAAATATGGATCTAATCGCATGGCGGCCCAAGGAAGAGATTCGGGAAACACCACCTCACAATAGTCTACTCCCGAAAGGTCCCACAGAGGCTACCAGGGGATAAAAAATTGATCTTTGCCTACCGCTGCCCTTCCCAAGCAATGCAATTACTGAATCCTTCTAGACCCACGGGAAACTTCCCAGATTGTGTCCCGGGCTCGGGTTGTATTGCGCTCCCGATCCTAACTTCCGCCTTGCCATATTAGCCGTTACCTAGGTCTTTCCTTTTCCCGGTGATTCTTATGAGTTACTATATCTTGCAGACAGCAAAGACGAGAAACACCCCCGGCTTTGCATACACACTCGTACAATCACTCGTCTGATCGTATCTCCCCAATCACTTTCACTCCCTGCTGGGTTCACGGTTCCACGCTAGCAAAGATGAATTTCATGAGGGCCGATTTTGACTGTTCTCCGCATCGACCATCCCGCAGACTTCTAGATGGAGCTATGGCTTTGTAGTGAGCACTCGGTGGAGGTCCACCATCGGTTCAAGCTAGCCAGCCAGGGAATCGTGACCGCCCGTAGCAGCAGCGACTGATCCCTAGATTCCAAGTCCCAATATGCCAAACCGCAGCCCTAACTGAATTCGGGTTTTCGGTCTCGGAAATGGGAGGAGTTATCTTCCTTCAGACTTAGTGAGAGAAGGCCCCAATCCTCCCTCATACATTCCATTTGGGGGGCTGTGGTCAGGTTCCGTAAGATAAGAAGCGCTGAAGCCGGCCCGCCAACATGGTGGCTGTTTCCGGTCGTCCTTTAACCCCCTAGATATATCATGCAAGGAATTCCAAAACGTTTATCAAGGAATGGTTTCCTGGGCCGTGGGGCACTAGCACCAGCCGTTTGAAAAGACGGCAGCCCTAGGGTTTGACTAGGGTATCTATCATATCTTGCGAGTGCGATTTCTGAATAGGCCGACAGCTAACCTTCAAGGCACTTCTGTCGCCTGTAGGTATTATACCGGCAATTGTCTGCAATCAGCCATTGGTCCCTGCCATTCGCTAGTGTTGAGATGTGCTACCTGTTGGCCCCGGGAATCCTTGAGGTTCACGACCCATGGACCTAAGGGGGTATTATAGTTGGGAATAACCGCTTCGCGCCCGTACGAGCCGATGACCGGAAAACTGACGGAGGTACAAGTACTGTGCTGTTGGGGGCGCTATCGTCTTCGGGGTCGCCGAGGCATAAATATAAACTATTTAGTTGATGATCGTGATGCTAGGAAAACTGTTACAGATCACTACCATGTAGTCTCCCCAGTGGGGAGTGAAGGGGGTGATTTGCAACGCTTAAACTCTGACAAAGCCGCATATCAGGTCCCCGTGTGGGCGAATGGTGCCGGACACTTCCTGGTAGGTTTCGCGCACGCTGGTAACCGGTTGCAAATTCCACTTTACTGGTGGGGAAGGAGTGTCTGGCGTGCAGACTTGTATTCATGTATGGGTACGCCATGCAACTGCAGAATTTGAGGTGGCGGCCACATAGCTTCCCTGGGCCGGTCGTGGGATCTTCTTATAGAGTAGGCGCATCGATTTCGAACCCTCACCATGAAATGTGATTACAGAAGACCTATTTACATTCAGGCGGTCGGGTATCAGAGGGAAGGAGTTGATGGTTCATAGACGACTTCTAAGGTTATAAGTATAAGATAGTATGATTTCAGAAAATATAACAGTGCATTGCTAAAAGCCTCATCTTGAAACTGATCCACAAAGAAGACATTGAAACAACAAACTCATAAAGACTGGTATGTTCGCCATTTAACCCCATGCGAACACGAGATTGGGGCCGGATTATTCATGTAATAAGGGAGAGAGATACGCCACGTCATAATGAGTGTGCTTGGTTAGTCGTACTCCAGAGATATTGCCCGATAATATCAATTGAGCGCGTTTTTCATTCGGATTGGTACTGGTCGCAAACAATTCGGCACATTACAAGTGCAACAGATAATGGACTATGAGTATGTGGTACACTGCTCGGGATTAGTTCATATGAGTGATAAGCGCAGTGGAAGGGGCAAAGCTCTTTCCAGAATGTTTCTGCGGCACTTACCCGAGTAGTGTAACAGGTTGTAGCAACCTCCTTTCCAAACTCATCGTGGATTGGGACCTGGCCACGGTAACCTTGGCTCTTTCCTGGTGTCATTCCCACGAACCAACCAATGACGAAGACTCTCCTTATTCTGCACGAGACGCCTCTGCTGTACAGCCTTAAATGACTCTCTGATGAGCTCCTTCAACTGTGCAACTCTTATAAGCATGCGAAGCAGGTCCAGAAGCAGCTCTATAGTTGTCGGGACATGCATTATCGGCCCTCTTTGCAGCAAACATACATATCCAATCCCGGAGTGTCCTAAGTGAGCGTACTGCATCGCCAACCGCGCCGTGGAAATTCCAACAACCTGCATACGTAGTCTAATCGCGGGGTCACGATCCACCAAGTCATCCAGCCGGTTGAGCATGTCATACAAGGATTTAATAAGTTTGATATTATCTTTCATCCACTTCGTTGCTTTCACACCACCGGCGAAGCTCCGCCCGTCTTCAATCCCGCCGTACTCGTGATAATCGTCCCCTATGTCACGGATAATGCCGTCGTGGCGGGGCCCGTGTTTCAACCGTTCGGTGGCCGTTGTCCGCTTGCAATTCATGCGCAAGGCCGTAGCACGACATGTGCCTTCCTTGCGATCTACCGTCAGGCCCTGGAGGTCGACGAGGCTAGCGTCAAGGAGATGGGACCAGATGTTATAGCCGTACCAGCCTTCTGAATGTGTCGAGAGAAGTGGGTCGTTTGGTCTTTCGA